CGCTAAAGCAGTGGTTCCCAAACTAGACCCACAAAATACCCGCAGCAAAGACCTGTGACTCCAGCTGTTGTTGGTTGATAAACATTGTTTTCGCATCAAATAAACAAGAGCATTTTAACATTATTTATGTTATGTTTATATAATTTACTATTTTTGTCAATTTTAAGCACACTAATCTTATTATTTTGTAAAAACAAAGGGGAAAAATGTTCTTAATTGTCATTTTTTTGTGTAATTAATTTTAAAATATTTTCAGGACCCCACCTTGATGTTTCAGGACCCCACTGTGGGTCTCAACCCCAACTTTGGGAACCACTGCACTATAGAACTCTGTGGCACAGCCGAAGCTTTTATCCTTTTTTTTTAAGTGTTCATTACTTTTACTTTTATACTTTAAGTAGTTTTAAAACCAGTACTTTTATACTTTTACTTGAGTAAAGAGCTTGAGTTGATGCTTCTGCTTCCAAAAAGTATTTTTAAAACCTAGTATAAGTACTTCTACTTAAGTAATGAATACTTTTGAGACCTCTGGTTGTTGTGATGACGTGGGCTCTGTGCTGCTGGACAGAGAAGCTGGAGCAGAGTCAGTGGACTGCTTCTATCAGACTGATTATTTATCAGAGATTTTAGATGCAGGCAGATAAAATCCGGCCTGCATTGTTTTTTGGCTGATATGGGACCGATATCAGATATATTGGATGGGGACAGCCCTATTAATAATTAGTCTGTACCTGACAGAGCTGCTGGGCCAGCTGCTTCCTGTCCTGGCTGTAACAGGCAGCCTGCTGGTAGTAGAAGCCCGGGTTCTGAGTCTGGATGGCTGTCAGACCCAACTTTATGGCCTCATCAAAGAGCTCACCGAAGGACTGGAACCTGTTGGGAAGCAGAGAGTCTGAAACCATCTGTTACTCTGACACTCTGTAACTTTATAAGGAAAACAACAGAAGTGAAAAACAATGAAACCATCACAACTACAGCCAAGTAGGAATGGGTACCTTTGGCATTTGAATCGATTCGGTACCAATATCCGGTATCTGGGAATCGGTACCAGTACTTAACGGTACCAAATTTTGGTACTTTGTGTGTGTGTGTGTGTGGTTTTTTTATAATAAACTTTTGTTTTTTTAACATATGTGACCCATCACATCAAAATGAGGATTACCGTATTTTTCTGACTATAAGCCGCAACTTTTTTCCTGAACTTTGAACCATGCGGCTTATAGTCCGGTGCGGCTTATACGTGGATTTTTTTCTT